CAGAGTGTTCTAATTAACCCTCCAGACAGAAAATCTGAGCAACTGCTGAACATCTGTCTATTATAGGTACAAAAAAAATATGAATGGACAAGCCCTCCGGGACCCCCTTCCTGCTTCCTTTAAAATTCCAGTAATTGAGCTGTCAGATGAGAAATCTCGATTTCTCCACTCCCCTATGAAGTCATAGAGGCTGCCACAACTTTCACAGGAATTCACGTTTGCTGAGCCAAAGGGCTTATCTCGAAAGGATAAAGGTGGAGCTCTGAAATGCTTTCCATTTCTTAGGGCAAAAAAATGTTTTATCTTGTAAAACACATCTGAAGCTCCACCAAGTTCAGGATTTAAGACTATTTGGCCTCTCAAGGAAGGAATGTACCAAGAAGCCAAGGAGGGGGTAAACTTGCTCCTGCCATGACACCCTCTGTTAAGAACCAGGCCAGGAACCTCTCTGGACACTTTTACTCTAATTCAGTAGGGACCATGTGTGAGGACTAGGACTAAAACCCCTTCGGAAGGCAGGAGCCAACTGTGGGGCATTCAAGTTCAGAAAGGAACAAGCCATCAATAAGGTGGGCTCCAGAGGCAAGTGTTTCTAAGGAAGGATATTTCCAAGCACATTTCAAAGTGTTGGTGCTGACCTTCAAAGCCCTAGACAGCCTCCGCCCTGTATACCCGAAGGAGTGTCTCCATCACCATCATTCAACGTGGAGTACAGGGTCGGGTTTAAGGTGCTGGTTTTGACCTTTAAAGCCCTTTGCAGCCTAGGAACCTCTCCTGGTATGCCCCGTGGAGGACCTTAAGGTCCATAAATAGCAACACTCTAGAGGTCCCGGGCCCTAAGGAAGTCAGATTAGCCTCAACCAGGGCCAGGGCCTTTTCAGTACTGGCTCCGGCCTGGTGGAACGCTCTGCCTCATGAGACCAGGGCCCTGCAGGATCTGATTTCTTTCCTCAGGGCCTGTAAGACAGAGTTGTTCTGCCTGGCCTTTGGCTTGGAACCAGCCTGATCCCCTTCCCCTCTTTCCTTTCTCTTTCTGTGATGGAACTCCTATTTGGGGACCTCCCTGGCTTTTTTCTGGCCCACGTAGGACCAGTCTGGATAGTTGGCCTTGGTGAAGATTTGACGTTTTCTCCCCCCAAACAGTTTTTGATCTGGGCTTCCACTGAAATAAGGCTGCATTTTAAGTAGTATTTTAATCTTGTTTTTAAGTTGTATTTTAATCAATTGTTTTTATACCTAGTGATAGCCGCCCTGAGCCCAGTCTTGGCTGGGGAGGGCAGGGTATAAAATAAAATAAAATAAAATAAACCCTGACACTGAGGTCCTCCTCCACAGGTCTTCTGCTGGTTCCATCACTGCAAGAAGTGAAGCTACAGGGAACCAGGCAGAGGGCCTCCTCAGTTGTGGCACCCTCCCTATGGAACACCCTCCCATCAGATGACCAATTACATGACTTTCCGAAGACATCTGAAGGCAGCCCTGTATAGGGAAGTCTTTTAACATGTCATGTTTTGTTACATTTTTATACACATTGGAAGCCGCCCAGAGTGGATGGGGCAACCCAGCCAGATGGGCGGGATATAAATAAGGAAATTCTTATTATGAAGGAGGATATTCAAGTTTCCAAAATATCGGCACATAGGAGAAAGGACCAGAGAAACAGCATCTTCCGGACAAGCAAGAAGGTACATTTCCTCAAGGAGTAGCAGCCCCTGTGAGGAAAAGCAGTGCGCAGGTGTTCAGTTTGGTAGGAACTTCTCGCTACCATAAGCTTGGTAGGCGAACAGCAACAATCAGCTGACAGTCGGTGCCCTTGAAGTGCTACACATAGGACTTCCCCAAGCGTCAGCAACGCTTTGTAGATGTGGCACATAAGGTTTCCCAACCGCCAACGATCAGCTGATTGTCAGCATTTGGGATGTGCTGCACGCCCTTCTTTGTCCGTGTGTGGTTGGATTTCAAACCCTGTGAGCAAAAGCAGGTCATCTGACATCACTGTGGCATCAGGTGGTCGACAGGCGAGTCTGCCCACCTGTCAAATTTGGCCAAAGGTGTGTGTGGAAATAAGGATGCAGCCGGGTCCAGTTCCCCACACTTGCATTAGAAGACTGAAGAGCAGCCCCCGAACTGAGGTTTGCTTTCCAGTGGGTTTTATAAATGCTGCTTTGGTGGCACTTATGGAAAACCAGCCTGTGGTTGATTTGAGTAACATCCTATGCCCTTTTAAAATGTGGGGGTTTGGGGGGGGCGATATTAGGTTGTTGTTTTTATTTTGAGTATATATTTGTGGTTTTATATTTTGGTTTTATTCTGTGAACCGCCTTGAGACATCCAGGTATATGGCGGTATATAAATTCAATACATATGGTTTTGCCTGTTGGGAAATGGAGGTGATATTTCCACTCTGGAAATTTGTAGTTGTGTGAAGGGAATAGGAGTCCTCCAAAAAAACTCTCACCACTCTTGGAAAACTGGACCTCCCATGATTCTTTGGAAGAATCCATGTCTGTTTAGAGTGGTATTATAGAGCCTTGGATATGTAATGTGAATGTGGTCTCAGTTTGGAAAATTTTGCCAGTCAGAGGGACAGTTAGAATGGAACTCTGAGGGAGGTAATGTCAGGAAATACATGGTTAGTTAGGATAACATGTAGGAACAGAGTTTGTTGGATGAGGGGAAGATATCGTTTGCAGGGTGTCAGTATTTAGTGTCTGCTTGTTCCAAATTTAATTTAATTCCTTAATTAAACATATGTTTCACTTTTAACCATCTGTGTTCTTTCTAGACAGGGCGAGAGTGGGACTGTGTTGGTTGTTGGGAAACTGACTTTCCAGAGGTTCTGGACTCATTTGGTGATTAGAAGAAGAGGAGTTTGGATTTGATATCCCGCTTTATCACTACCCGAAGGAGTCTCAAAGCGGCTAACGTTCTCCTTTCCCTTCCTCCCCCACAACAAACACTCTGTAAGGTGAGTGAGGCTGAGAGACTTCAGAGAAGTGTGACTAACCCAAGGTCACCCAGCAGCTGCATGTGAAGGAGCGGAGACGCGAACCCGGTTCCCCAGATTACGAGTCTACCGCTCTTAACCACTACACCACACTGGCTCTCTTAGCTAGGGCTGATGGAGTCTGTTTAGCCTGGAAAAGAGGAGATTGAGAGGAGATACGATAACCTCTTCAAATATCTCAAGGGCTGTCACATGGAGGATGGAGCGAGCTTGTTTTCTCCTGATCTGGAGGGTAGGACCCAAAACAATTGATTCAAGTTACAAAAAAAAAAAGGAGATTTCGACTAAACATCAGAAAGAACTTTCTGACAGAAATAGCTGTTTGCTGGTGGAAAGGCCTCCCTTGGGAGGTGGTGGACTCTCCTTCCTTGGAGGTTTTTAAACAGAGGTTGGGTGGCTATCTCTCATGGATGCTTTAGCTGAGATTCCTGCATTACAAGGGGTTGCAAGGGGATGATCCTCAGGGTCTCTTCCAGCTCTGTGATTCAGTGATGCATAAAGGAAAGTCCCACTTCTCTCTGCCAAGTGAGCATATTGCAGGAGGCAGCATGTATGAAAAGTCTGGGCCCAGTGGAGTTGCTGGAGGGGACTCACCTTGGGGTCAACCTAAGGACAGGGTCTTGCAAGGGACCCCACCCACTTTGCCTGCAATTACAAGGCCTCACTCTTCTGGTGCCTTCAGGAAGGCTGCCCAATCTAGCCTTAAGCTGTCTCTCAAAGTTGCTATCATAATAAAACGAGGCAATCCCACGAACAGCAGCCTGCATTCCTTAGAGGAAGGACGGGGTGCAAATGTTATCATAATACTGTCAAATCTCATATTTCAGCGTGCATGCTTTGCCAGCGCAGGAAAATGTCGCTCGCAGTGTATCCCTCGTTCTGTCAACCCATTTGGCAAAACAAGTCGTTCTAAGCATGAAAGCTTTTTCAAAAAAATAAATAAAATTGCTGAAGTAAAGGCAGTTGGTATGAGTATCCACAACAGCAAAGATAATGAATAAATAAATAAATAAATTTATTTTCTAAATGGTGTTACTAGAGATGTTCCCCAAACTCTGACTGCCCACCAGAGTTAGTTTGGCATTGACTCTGGGCTTTTAAACCCATGAGAAACAGATAATGAAATCAGTTTTAAGTTTTTTGTTTGTTAAAAAGCAAATGAACTCACAACAGGAATATTCTCAGCAACTGAGCCTTCCCAAAAAAAATTTCTTTTGGGGGGGTTTACTAATTTTTCCCTGCAGGAACTTCATGTGTCCACAAGCCCTCACTGAACTCAATGGACTGGCTTCCATGCAAATCCAAAGTTAAAAGCTGGCCCATGGAATCTGAAAATGCTACCCCTCTCTCCAGGAGCTTTCAAGAGTCATGCGAAAAATCTACCAAGGCATGGCACTAAAAAACGTTTTGCAAATTGACAGGTATGCTTCATTTCCACCTTTGTGGAAAGGCAAAAGGGAAAACTTCTCTGCCGCTCTGCTCGGTGAAGTTTTAAGTGGGAGGGGACTGGAGAGAAAGCCTTCCGTCATGAAAAGTCGTGTCCTGATCTGAAAGAATCCCTCAGGAAAGAAAAGAAGTGATCCTCTTAGAGAGGGCCCCGCCTCTGCCCCTCCAAGGCCTCCCTTTCAGAGCCAGCTCTGCCGGCCTCGTTTAGCATCAGGCTCGCTAAACGCTTTGCCGTCTGCATTATCCTTTACGGAGCAGCGATTCGCTAAGCACCGATAAGTATTCCACACATCAAAAGCCAAAACTGCATGAGAACCAAGTATGCATTAACTCGGAAGCGTGGAAAAACCGTGGCACTTAGAAACACCCCACAGACGTTCTCAAAACAAAACTCTCCATTATTAATGAACACTCCCCATTCATTCCCAAGTGCAGTTCAGCCAGTAAGGAGAGTTCCCCATCCCACAATGCCTCTGGATCATGAAAGGGGCAACCTTTGATCCATTCACGAAACCAAGACACAAAGAAACGAAGGACAGTTCCTTACCTTCCACCTCCTCGTCGTCGCACACATGCTTCAGGAAAGAGGCCCCTCTGTCCAAGACCGCCTCATCCTCCATCCTGTAGTAGTAGAAAAGGAAGAAAGAGTGTTCAGACTTCTCCTGGAGGGAGCCGCTCGAACTGGCCCAGCTCCTGGGCAGATTCACTTGCAGGCTATTGTTCATGTTACAAGAGAGCAGGGTCGCTTTTCACTCTGGGCTCGCCACTCCTTCATGCAGCTCCCCCCCACGGCGCTCGGCTCCTAATCTCGACGGGGCATCGCAAGACGGGGCAGGTGGGAGAGGGGGAAAGGGTGCTTGCAACTAGAAGGCTTTTGTCTTCTCCTTCCTTTTCCTTTTAATTAAAGAGATGCAGCGAAGAGGAAGAGGGGCTAGAGCCGCTGGCGGAAGCATTCACGTTTAAAAGAACCCCCACGCAAGGTAGCTGTCCACAGAGAGGAGCGCATCGTCTAGCAAAAGGCGGCAGCAGGTGCGTGCAAACCCACAGACGGGGCCGATGCTCCCGCCAGCCCCCTTAATACCAGCAAAGCACACTTCTTCACTGCGAGGCAAAGCTGCGTGTCACATGTTAGCCTTACGGAAATCTGACATCTGAGGATTATCCAGGGACCAGCAAGCTCCAGCAAGTCAGAATGCCAGGCTCATTTGCATATCTCAGACGGTCACCCACCTATCGTTCTTCTCCAGTTCCCTCCCTCTCAAGCACACGTATCTTGTCAATTCCCTCTGTCCCCTTATCACAAATAAAAATGTTGATGAGGCTGCAACAGTTATTCAATTCCATTCACTGATTTATTTTTCCCCTCCCCCTTTTAAAAACAACAACTGGCTTAAAAGGTTTCCCACAAGAGACACTTCCCGTTCTCCTCCAAGCATGTGTGCATAGAAAGAAAGAATGCTTCATGTGTCGGGCATAGAGATTTTACTAGGACACCGAGGTCCAGCACCGACGGCCTTCTGGCAGTTCCCACACTGCAAGAAGTGAAGCTACAAGGAACCAGGCAGAGGGCCTTCTCGGTAGTGGCACCCACCCTGTGGAAGGATGTCAAGGAGATGAGCAATTATATATTAGGAGACATCTGAAGGCAGTCCTGTATAGGGAAGCTTTTTAGGGTTCAAGGTTTTACAGTGGTACCTCGGGTTACATACGCTTCAGGTTACATACGCTTCAGGTTACCTACTCCGCTAACCCAGAAATAGTAGCTTGGGTTAAGAACTTTGCTTCAGGATAAGAACCGAAATCGTGCAGCAGCGGCACGGCGGCAGCAGGAGGCCCCATTAGCTAAAGTGGTGCTTCAGGTTAAGAACAGTTTCAGGTTAAGAACGGACCTCCGGAACAAATTAAGTACTTAACCCGAGGTACCACTGTACTTCATAATGCGAAAGGCTGGGCTGGATGAATCCCAAGCCGGAATTAAGATCGCCGGAAAAAATATCAACAACCTCAGATATGCAGATGACACAACCTTGATGGCAGAAAGTGAGGAGGAATTAAAGAACCTTTTAATGAGGGTGAAAGAGGAGAGCGCAAAATATGGTCTGAAGCTCAACATCAAAAAAACGAAGATCATGACCACTGGTCCCATCACCTCCTGGCAAATAGAAGGGGAAGAAATGGAGGCAGTGAGAGATTTTATTTTCTTGGGCTCCATGATCACTGCAGATGGTGACAGCAGTCACGAAATTAAAAGACGCCTGCTCCTTGGGAGAAAGGCGATGGCAAATCTAGACAACATCTTAAAAAGTAGAGACGTCACCTTACCAACAAATGTCCGTATAGTTAAAGCCATGGTTTTCCCAGTAGTGATGTATGGAAGTGAGAGCTGGACCATAAAGAAGGCTGATCGCCGAAGAATTGATGCTTCTGAATTATGGTGCTGGAGGAGACTCTTGAGAGTCCCATGGACTGCAAGAAGATCAAACGCATCCATTCTTAAGGAAATCAGACCTGAGTGCTCACTGGAAGGACAGATCGTGAAGTTGAGGCTCCAATACTTTGGCCACCTCATGAGAAGAGAAGACTCCCTGGAAAAGACCCTGATGTTGGGAAAGATGGAGGGCACAAGGAGAAGGGGACGACAGAGGATGAGATGGTTGGATAGTGTTCTCGAAACTACAAACATGAGCCTGACCAAACTGCAGGAGGCGGTGGAAGACAGGAGTGCCTGGCGTGCTCTGGTCCATGGGGTCACGAAGAGTCGGACACGACTAAACGACTAAACAACAACAACAACAACCACTGTACTATGTTTGGAAGCTGCCCAGAGTGGCTGGGGCAACTCATTCAGATGTGCGGGATACAAATAAATAAATTGTTGTTGTTGTTGTTGGCGAATTTAATTGATGTTAGGCTAGCAGATGGGCAGAGCAACCCAGAGATGGCCAGTGTGGGGTGATGGCTAAAGTGCCGGGCTAGGACTTGGGTTCAACTCGGCCACCAGGTGACCTTTAGGCAGGTCATTGCCTCTCAGCCCAACCTACATGGGAGGGGGACGCCACCTGCTGAGCTCCTTAGCTGGGGAAAGGGTAGGATACAATACAATAAATAATAATAATAAATGAACCATCATTGCGCTGGGCGGGAGTTGTTGATCGACTGGATGGGAGTGTCTCCCTCCACACACTGAATCTGTGGGCAAGTGGAAGTGCCACTGGTGAGGACCAACCCAACCAAAAAAAAAAAAATATGGAGCTTCCCCAGAGCAGGGATGAGGCAGCCCAGAATCCATTGGATTGAAAGCTGGCCCCACTGCCATGATGTGACGGGGTCAGACCCAATCTGGGCCTGATTACAATGGCAGCTACAGGATGATGCAGAGATCTGCCTGCCCCCCATCCCTGGTCATTTTCTGTCCCACCTACTGTATGTGGCAGGGCAGACCGCCACAAAGCGCTACCAGGTTTGTGGGGAACATGGTTAAAATTGCTCCCTAATACAATACCATACCAGTATATTGGTGTTTATTTTAGCCCTAATAAACATTCTCTAGATTTTGCACCAAGGCAGGGAGGGGGGAGATTTCGGTGTATTGCTTTAAAAAAGTTATTGAAAGTTGCGCAGAATAAAGCAAAAATGAAAAGTGCACGAAAAGGAAATGAAACGGAAAGTTATAATATATCACTATACAGTGGACGCTCGGGTTGCAAGCATGATCCATGTGGGAGGCATGTTCGCAACCTGCAGTGTTCACAACCTGCAGTGCCACGTCTGCGCATGCACGGGTTGCAATTCGGCGCTTCTGCACATATGTGACTGCCAAAACCCGGAAGTAACCTGTTCCGGTACATACGGGTTTCGGCGGGTCCATAACCTGAAAAAAACGCAATCTGAAGCGCCTGTAACCCGAGGTATGACTGTATAGGCAAACAACCCCAATTTAATATATGCTTATCTAGTGCATAGGTATATAAAAGTGTTACTAACAATATGTGGTTATTTACAACCTACTAAGTTTTGTATAGGGACGTGGGTGACACTGTGAATTAAACCACAGAGCCTAGGACTTGCAGATCAGGTCAGCGGTTCGAATCCCCATGACGGGGTGAGCTCCCGTTGCTCGGTCCCTGCTCCTGCCAACCTAGCAGTTCGAAAGCACGTCAAAGTGCAAGTAGATAAATAGGTAGCGCTCCGGCGGAAAGGTAAACGGCGTTTCTGTGTGCTGCTCTGGTTCGCCAGAAGCAGCTTAGTTAGTCATGCTGGTCACATGACCTGGAAGCTGTATGCCGTCTCCCTTGGCCAATAAAGCAAGATGAGTGCTGCAAAGCCAGAGTCGGCCATGACTGGACCTAATGGTCAGGGGTCCCTTTACCTTTACTAAGTTTTGTATAAACACATTTCAAATATCATTGTAACTGCCATACAAAGCCCACATCTGTAAGCAATCCATTCATAAATTGCAAACGCTATCATATCTTCAATCTACTGACTAAAGGAGACCATAGACTCATCTTTCCTATGCATCGATATCAGTCTTTGGGCTGTAGTAAGTGGGGCTTGGAATTCAAGAGAGGAATTCAACGTTGCTCTATTATGCTTGTTCCATCAACACAAGCCCAAACAATCTCCCCTCACCTCCCACTGCATACTGTTCTGGGGTTCCCACCCACCCCCAAGACAATTTGCAGAGGTGCAAGGAGAAGTGGAGAAAGTCCAACTGCAGTAGTGGGACGCGTGCCGGATTCCGCTATCGCATCTGCCCAGCTGAATCCAGGCCAGCTTTATTCCCACTTAATGGGATTTACTTCCGAGTAGATGCGAGTAGGATTGTGCTGCATACTTCTCAAACCCACGGACAGCAAGACTGCTTTGCATACAGTGGTACCTCAGGTTACAGACGCTTCAGGTTACAGACTCCGCTAAGCCAGAAATAGTACCTTGGGTTAAGAACTTTGCTTCAGTATGAGAACAGAAATTGTGCTCCGGTGGCGCGGTGGCAGCGGGAGGCCCCATTAGCTAAAGTGGTGCTTCAGGTTAAGAACAGTTTCAGGTTCAGAACGGACCTCTGGAACGAATTAAGTACTTAACCCAAGGTACTACTGTATTGCAGTACACTAGGGATCAGAATCTTGAACTCAAGAGGCCAAATCTGGTCCCACACTGCACCCCACAATGGCTAAATGAATGGCAAAAAAAGGAGCAATGGAGGACAATGGTATTTGCCAGCTGCCATTTCAAGTTTGCAGGTAATTTAGGCCCCATCTCCTCGGGGTCTTCTCAAAGCTGTGCTCTGGGAAAAGGGACAAGATGCTGAAGACAGTGGTGGCAGGACATCTCCAGGCATGTCTGGAGAAAGTAGTATATCTAATCTTGTTTCAGCCATCAGCGCTCAAACAGCCTTGGTCGCTCTGATGGGTGACCTCAGTCAGGAGAGGGGAAGGGTAGCATGTCCCTGTTGATTCTCCTTGTTCTTGATAGAGATACTATCAGCCTTGGTTTATTATAAAAGTTCTTGCTGTTTGATAGATCTTTTCGTACATAATTTCCACTGTTTTGGGAGCTTCCTCCGATTGTGTTTGCTGTGTTCCCGCTCCATACCTACAGGGCCAATTCCAGAAGGCAGC